TGATTGAAAGGTAACCATCTCCTAGCATGGTTTCTTAGAATACAATGACCTGTTAGTAAACTTACTACAAGAATGATATTTTTACGAGGCATCTCTATGAGAGAGTTCGATTTTCTTTTGTTGGTATGTAGTCAAATTGCATACAGATGCCTGCATATCGTAGAGTCTTTCCATGTTTTATTAAAAAGTTCAGCACAGGAAGAACTCAATACCAAATTGCATGATGTCAACGATATTCCCTGATTGTTTAGGTGTTCCCAATGGTTTCCTGAAGCACCCCGTCTAGCTAGCTCATCTGCTTTGCAATTGCCGAAAATATCCTTATAACCGGGAACACAGATTAGAGAAATATTGAACTGCTTCGACATCAAATTTAGACATGTGTAGTAATGAAAGACTGTCCCAGATGTAAATCGAACTGAACTCAAAGACTTTAAACTAGCTTGACTATACGATAGTATATATATATTCCTTTTAAGTATATTATATACTTCTACACAAGCTAAAGCTTCCTTTATGACAGTCACTTTTGCCTGAAAAACAATACGGTGAACTGGAAGAATATAAGAAAAGAATATATTTGGCTATTCTGAGAAAACTCCACTACCAACGCCAATCCCGGTTTTCGAACCGTCGGTAAAAGTTTTTAGACCCTCACCCAGGAAGGGACCTATGATAAATAGTTATAATTACTTTTTTTTTTGTCTTTGTCTTAACTTTGTTTTTAACAAACCACTGAATTTAATATATTTATATTTGAAAACTTCTAATATTGTTTAAATAAATACAAAATAATATAAAATTTATTTTCTTTAGATTTTTTCCACCTTTAAATATAAACAACTAAGAGAATCAGTTTTTTTTTTTTTGCTATTTTCAGCACCTTAGCGCATTTCAAAAGTTTTTAATTAAAAACTAAAATAAAAGAAGAAGACAATTTGTTTTGTTTCAGAAACTTATTGTTATTATTGTTTTTAGCAATGCACTCACCAACTAAGCTGCGAAACTAAATGAAAGTAAATATTGTCATAACGCGAAATATTTTCTGTTCCACAAATAGTTGCTAGTTGCTAGCAACGTAGCAGCAACTTTACACTGTAGTTGCAGCTTTTTTATTTTTTATTTTCGTTATTATTTTGGTTTTATAAATTTACAATGCCATAAAACAATACAAATATGCTAAAACTTGTTGCCAGGATAAAATATACCAGAAACAGGATGGTTGGAGAATGAGTTTTATGGGCTTTTCTGAGTTTTGCATAGACAGGCGCATATTTTTAATTTTAATTGCTTTTTTACTACTACAAATGAAAAAAAATTTCAACTATCATGAATCGCAATTATAATTATTAAAATTTTGATTTTAATATTAAAAATAAATATAAATTGTAAATTTAATTACAAAACTATGGATCTGCTCATTTTATTTATGAGCATTTTATGTGCAGCATAGTGTATTTAATTTTATTAAAATAATTATTTAATTAAAATTATATGTGTATATATAAGGTATGTATATTACAACGTTAACGTATATATTTCAGTAATAAATGAATATTTGTGTATTTAGTTTAATTATGATTAATATTATGAACATTTTACACGCATATTGTATTTAATTTGACTATAATAACCATTTAACCAAATCCTTATGCATATTATATATAAGGTAAATTATATCATTGCGATAAATAAACGAATATTTATATATTCCATGTTATTATTATTACATTATTGGAGAACAATGTAATAAAAACAGGATTTTTAAACATGACTTTTTATAATAAAAAACAGTAAAAATTTATTTACTAAAAATCGATTTAGTATATTGAAGTAGTAAACTTCTGACTTAATATAGCGATTTGCTCGCTCTAAAGACATGTCAAATAAGTGTTTTAAATCAGAGACCGGGATGCTATCAAGAATGTCAGTACTAGTCTTTTAGATTGTTTCTACAATAAGCAAAAGAGTTCTTATGAGGCAAGTGCATTACAAAGTGCTAAAAGGTAAAAGTCATACGCCTTAAGTTTAAATGATATACCGATATTCCGTAGCGATATTAGATTAGATTTCTTATAAGCATTTAATGACGTTAAATTTTACTTAAGATGTTTGTGTTATAAATACATTTTAAGTGGTTGTACACTATAATATATTTAATAATAATATTAGAAACAAAGTCCAGTCCCTCGAAAGTAGTAGAGAAGGTAATAGAGTAGAATTTTAGACGACTTCTGTGAGGCAGCCGCACAGAAATAGAGGAGATAAATTCCCGTTTTCCCGTAATGCCCGTTTTTCTGTATGCGCTATCTTCAATTTTCTGTTAGAATACCGACAAGTAAACTGCAGTTTTGAAAATCTTGAACGACATCACGATTGCTATATCTTTACACATATTCTGTAAAAATCATTAACTACTTGTGTCAACACATTCTGCTAATAAAAGTATCAACAAAAAAATTACAAGTATTAAGACTGGAATTAAAACATTTTAAGCCATACACAAATTTTCACATCTTTGTAACAAATTTTTTCACATTTAACGTTTTACCTTTAACTGCTGCTATGTACGAAGAACCTCAACTCCCTTGGCAAGTGTTTTACATTCAACTTCTAAGCCACGAGATATTTTCTCAAATATCTTAAGTTAAAATGCCAACAATAATGCGGAAAGTATGCAACAATCTTTCCCGGCAGCCTTACAGGAGCAGCGGTGAGCTTTGCAATAAATTGAAATTTACATTTTTGTAGATAAATTCTATGCATACACAGAATTTATACTGGCTATAAATGTACTCGTATGTATAAATGTATAAATATATATATGTATCAAATTTTATTGGGAGAGCGCAATATATACGCAGAAGGAAGGAAACATACTGAAATTCTTACAGCAAATTGAAATATTTTTGCTTGTATTGAAGTATATGGAGCAGGAATTTTGTAAATTTCTGTTAAAATATTTTTATTTGAAATTTTTTTATATTTTTTAATTTATAAAATTTTTAAGTAGAAAATATTTCTGCACGCGGATGTAAAGTTATTTATCTGCCCCAGAGTGTAAGAGTGTAGCGTGGAGGGAAGCTCAATCATTTAAAATCTTTTTAACCTTTTTAACATATTTCCGTGTGTACTGCATTAAATCAATAACATTTTAATAAATAAGATTGCTTGCCTGCAGCGTTTCATTATGCGAGTAGAAACACGTCAAGTGTCAAACACACATCCTTTTCCTTGTTATGTCGGATGTGATAAATTCCCATGTCAGCATTTATTGATGAGATAATTTTTAATGTACGCATATTTATGTAAGTGGCGCCCTTTGGTATCTTTTATTACTGTAACATGTGATATACATTAAGGGGCGTATATTGCCTTGGGGGCGTTGTCGGGTACACATGCTGTTTGCCACAAATAACTCTATAAATGTTACGTGCACAATCTACAGTAATCATTGCTATAAAAATTGATTTGACACAACTGATACGTTGATGATATTGTTACAACAATTGCTGGAAGTTTTATGTGTTTTTACACAGATTTTTTTTGTGTCACAAGTGATGATGATAAGTAACGAATAATCGTAAAAGTGAATACTTAATAAACATTCATCATTTTTAATGCATATTAACATATAGTTGATATATATATAAATAATTAAATTAATGTGGTACATATATTATGTACATTGAATATATGCATATGCTTGTTATGAAAAATTAAATGTGTTACAAATTATGATGATAAGTAACGAGAAGTAATCGCAAACGTAACCGACAGGCTACCCTACTTAGCACTATCTAATCTAATCAGAGTAATCACTGACCGCACAGGGCGGTACGCAGATCTTAGATTAGTCATTGAATAATCACGAAGCTTATAAGAAATACACAAATTAATCAGTGAGCAGGGTGGGACTTTGCAGAAACCCCCCAGCTATCAAAGAGTGAAAGTGCCCAAATGCATTAACTCGGAAAAGACTTAACAACATCATTGTCAGATTGGATCGATTTTTCATTTGTGTTGGCGTCCAGAGCTTCAATCGCCCAATTGTCAGATTGGAGATCTGAGCGCCAACACAAGTGAAAAATCGACTTAGGCCGAAATTCTGAATAGCCACCCTAATAATATTCTAAAACTTTTATTTAACATGTTTTCTATATTATTTATTTATATTTATGAATTGTGCATATATACTTTATAGTGTGAAAATGTCAAACATTAAACTCTGTCATTGAAATACAGACTCTAGTACTAGACAGCTGAACCAATCTTGCATTTAATTGTGACTTTTTTTTCACACAACACAACTCTTAATTCAGCTCTAGAGTACATGTCATACTATTCTTAAAACAAACACAAACTTATTATCTCTTATTACTAATTATCTCTTATAACAATTATTTCTGTATATAATTTTTAATTATTTAAAAATGGCTCAAACACTTTTAAAGTATAAATGCCTCAAACGAATCTATTATAATAGCAAAGTTAATGTATTAATTAAATGAATTTAAAATAAAATATATTTTATACAATATTAACACAAATTTTTAAATTTCATTTTAGTTTTCATTTCCAAACATTATTCATATTTCCAAACATTTTAATATTCATTTAGAATTTCATTGAGCTGTTCAATTTTACATAAACTTAAACTGCAACGTGTTTCGTAAAGCTATGCTCTTGAATAATATATTCACAGTCCTGCTGAAGTGTGACCTTATCTTCCTCACAGAATTCCAATAATTTATTCATGAGCAAGTACATACCGCATTATATTTCACATAATAATTTTCATTTTAATGAACACAAACGAGTGCCATGACATTAATGCATATCCACAACATTAAGTTTAGAATATTTTCAGTAAAAAAAGTTCATTTTTCTAGCTCATTTGAAATTTAATTTTAAAACTTTTAAAATTGTAGCATAAATTTTAAAAATTAATGTTACTCATACGCACTGCATATCCAATACAAGTACCTGACATGTCCAACATGGTTGTGGAGAAACAAGATTTTGTTGGTTATGCTGTATTTATTTATATTTCAATGAAGTTGGTGTAAATTTAAACAATGACTAGTAAAAAAAAGGAAATTTTAAACTTTTTGGTAGTTTCAGAGAATAATTTAGTAAAGTAAAAATAAAGAAAAAATACTGGAATAATATACCAGGATTAAAACAATCCAAATCACTTATTGGTACCTAAAACAATTAGAGATATCAGCCTTGTAGGAACCTTTCAAAATAAAAACTTACAATCATCACAGGAATCCACCTTACAAGACTGGGTATATTTACGGATGCAAACTGTAGAATCTGTGAAGAGAATGAGGAGTCGGCCACACATGTGCTGTTACAATGCCCTACGCTAATGCACATACGGAATAGACTCCTGGGAATGTATATCCTTACGGAAGAGACAATAAAACTCTGTAAAGTAGGTTATATACTATTTTTTACTGACGCAACAGGGCTTAGAGACCTACTTTAAACCCAGAAGAGAGCACTATTGACCAGACGGTCGCAGTGCCACATCCCCTAACAATAAAAATAATAAAGAAAAAATGTATAAAAACGACACACGTAACATACCTTCTGCTCAAAAAGTATCCGGATTTTATTGTTTGTTAACTACACCGTAAGTGAAAGCCCTTTTTAAAAAATTTTTTTTTTTGTTCTGTTGGTACACCCTTTCTTGACATATGGAGCGCCATCTGTCAATTAGTTTGTTTACAGCAGCTGTTAATGTGAGACTACCTCAAGTGCATTTAGCGATTTTTACTATAGAAAATTCTTGTCGTACGCGATTTTTTGACCAAACACAGCACCACTGTCATCGCTAAGGCACCATATTCGCCAGATCTGGATCCGTGCGACTTTTTCCTGTTCCCGCAACTCAAATTGCCCCTTCGTCGTAAGCGTTTTGAGTCGACGTTTTTGAGTTTTACCGATTCAGTAAAAGAGAATTCGCTGAAAAAACTAAAAGCCATACCTTCGCAGGCCTACGAAAAGTGTATGAAAGATGGGGTTAAGGGTTGGCATATGTGTATCGCTTCAGAAGAAGCATATTTTGAAGGAGATAAAATAAATTTAGAATAAAATTTAAATTTGTGTGTTTTATTTACAAAATCCGAGTACTTTCTAAGCAGAAGGTATATGTAAATTATTAGAATAAACAAATTATTTCCATTATGGGCATTATTATATATCAATTATTTTAAAAATTTCTTCATTCCTCTACTCAATGATATATGAGTTCTATTACTACCTATTACTGCCTCAGATTTCTAACTTAAATTATTATTACGGTCCAATTATAAATTTCTACAATTTCTATATAATTTACTTTTGATTTTTCATTTGAATAATTCTAGTAAACCAATTATTTCTAAAAATTTTAATATTCTTCTACGGTTAGAATTCTAAAACTGCCATTACTTTTGCCATAAATTATTATTATAAACCAATTACTCGTATATCTTCACCTCCTGTATTTTTGTACTCTTTTAAAATATGAATTCTAGGACTACCATTACGTTTCTTTTGATTTTTAACGGAATATGAAATAAATTATTGCATTTTCAAACTGTCAACAAACTACAAATCATTAGTCACACACTCTTTCCTCTGTTTTATTAATTTAACTTTTACTTGACGATATTTGTATTTGTGCCATTACAAGTAGAAAATTTTCCTTCATCATTGCGTTGAGTTTTCTTCCATGCAAATATCTACGTTTTGTATTTACTTGCCTTTGCAAAGTTGTAAGCACGTCTCTCCACTTGACAGTCATGTTCGACCTTTTCATTCCCTGCTACTGCGACAACGACAATGCAAAGTTGAACAATAGCCGTTTATGACTTCAGCACAAGTCATTCTTCTGCAGCCCCTAGAATGTCGTAAATGCCTTGAAAGTCAGGTCGTAGTTGAACGCTCATACAAAACACACAGCTAGCTCAGCAAATGAATAGAACTTTTGACTAAGGTCATTGTATCTCTTATACCAATTAAAGTTGGTAAGCGTTGACTGACTGACACACCCATTACCGTCAGCTCAGAAGTATAAATAATACAAATTATAAATGTCGCATGCACATAAATTATATAAATGCGCCTAATTACATTTAATTAATTTATGCTTTTTAGCAATTTAAAGATAGCAAATATTTCGCATCTCTCACTTAAAGCATGTCAATTACTTTTTAACTTTACCTTTAAAAATGGAGTAATAAATAATATATAATAATATATATAAAATAAAAGTCTTCATGAAAATGTCATTTGCAGTTTGATACATTTATAATTTTTTTATTATTTTATGAAGGGAATAAATTTAATTTACTGCAGCTGTCGTTTTTATTTAACTTATATAAAAGTTTTAGATTTGCTGATATTAAAAATTTGCTTACAAATCATATCTTTATTATACTTATATATATAAACAACTTTTTTATTTACTACATCTTGTGAAAAAAAAATTTTCTTTCAATATTTCTCAAGGAATGACTTTTTCATATTAAAAGCAGCAAATAGTAGCCTTAAAACCTCAACTCTAACAAATAATAATTATATTTACTTACACCCTCTTTGACATAACCTTTATAAAATCAGACAGTGTCATGCCAAGGACTACTCTAACAACAAACAGATCAGTTTATTTTTTGGTGGTCTTTCCTATAAATGGAGGCACTTTATTTTTAATAGCCTACGAGTGCTGAATACTGATGACGACACCATTAGGCTAGTAAAAGATTAAAAAGAAGAAGTTTCTAAGTAGGCAGTCAGAAGAATTTAAAATTATCTTAAGTAAATCCAAGTAATTTCTTTTGATTTGTGCTTTAACAAATAATAACGGTAGAAAGCTGAACTTGCCTCTATATCGCAATTTAAATCATATTCTATATTATTCTATATTACTATCTATACCCTAATTACTCAAAAGTAGAACATAAAATAAAATTACAAATTGGCAATAATGATGACTTTTCTAAGAATAGAAATTCGTCTGCACTAATGTGAACTGAATACTTTGAAAGAATTCTCGTTTTGAAGGGACTGAAGTGACATGACTGACACACATAATCAGAATTGGTTTGAGTGACATTAAATTATCCCCCATTAATAGCATTAACATTCCCTACATGCCTGTCGCACGAAGCGACTAAAATACAGCCAGGCGTCGGAGGGTGTGACTTGAAAGGCCACAAAAATATTTCAGTGACCTTGCTTAAATCACTTTTCCGACTTATGAACTATCTCTCAATTGTGTGACTGATAAACTTAAACTAAGAGCTAAGACTAATATTCTGACTAAGAGTCTACTTCTATCAAAACATCTTGCAATAGTGGAGAGGTAAATTAGCACTTCAGTCCTAACATATGGTTATCATATATAACTATAAATTTAAAAACTCTACCAGTTTATCTCATAGTTATCGCTTTTCATCAAATATCACTTAAGTACATTAACAATTACCAATTATTTTTAAATAAATTTCATTAATATAAAATTTATTTATTTTAATTACAGGTCATAGAAGAACGAATTATACATATACCTTATGTGCCTATCTTACCGGAACCACTAAATGCTCCAACGGGTAATGAAATAAAACCACGTCCTGTAGGTGAAGAAAATGGCACTGTGGTATTTAATTATAATCCTATTAGCGCCGTCAACTATGTAAGTCTCATTTATCACATTTATTACGAACTAAAATTTAAATATATTTTTCACTTTAAGAATATTAATTGTGTTTCTAATCTATATTTTTCTTGCTACTTTTAATTAAAATTGACTAACTAACTAACTATTAGAAGTGCATTGAAACTAAAATTATATAAAAATAACTTATAATATATATTTAAATACATATATAAATTTAACAAAATTTATAAACTTATTTATGCTTAATCAAAACTAAATAAAGCGCTTATTTATTGTAAATTTTGGTTATAGTCCTTGAAGAATCCTTTAATTAACATAATTATGCTGTACGTCAGGATAATCAACAAAATTACTGAAGTAAAAAAAATTGCTTTGTATATTTTCAAAGCTAAGATTCTAAAGCAGTTGAAATAAAAAATATTTAAAAAAGATTTTTCCATTTAACAGAACTAATAAAAATAAAAATAAAAATAAAAATAGGGAAACATCAAAGGATTTACATTTTTTTCTGATTTATTCTGTTTTTATACAATAATACTTGCAATTGAATAATGATATGAAAAAATACAAAATATTTTTTAATAGCAAAGCATCCTTTAAGTTTGAAGAAACAAATTTAATAAAAAACAGCAACTTTTAATAAAGTTTGGAATTCATTTTGATATGAAGTTGCTTATAATAATATATTTCAAAGTTGTCGACCATAATTGCTATTTTATAAAAATTTAATTTAGATGCTTTAATTGTACAATGAAAAGATAATATTAATTAAAAATAAACAAGCGGGTAATTAACAGTTAATAAACAAATAATTTATTCGATAATAATGTATCAGAAGATGTGAATATAAGATAAAATAATTAAAAATTAATAAAATGCTTTATGTTGGTAGTTATGTTAAAATTATTAAATTTTATATGGTAATAACAACTTACATATTTCAATATACTTATATACAATATACTTATATATATGTAATCAGTCGCGAATCTAGAAACTCCCAGTGGAGAAAGTCCAATGAAAGATATAACACAAATTGTTTAGAGTATATAACATTATGTGTATGTTAGGAATAAATATTTCCTTACAACAATCTTAAGAATTATTAACAATATTGTGTGCTAAATAACGAAGAACTACTAAATAGTGAGGTTAGTCAGGCTAGGGCCTGAGCACACCATTCGGCTTCTCGTTAACATGTTGTGAATGATAGTCTGTCACTCAAAAACTTTCATTTGTCATTCAAGAGCATATTTTCACTTGGTTGCACTAACACATTTACAGCGTACGAAACACACCTACAGCATGCGTAAACACCCTTATTCTTCAAAAATTTTGCTTGAATGAAATCTCTTGTATGTAAGCATGTTCAAGTTTGGTGACTAGAATAAATTTGAGCAAAAGAGAGTGCAACTTGAATGACATTCAAAAATGATAGTCTGCACCATGCTTTAAAGTTAATGCTGTTAACTTTACTTTTGCTTATATCACTTTTTTCTACGCAGATACCAAACTTTTCCGTAATTTACTGATAAAACCAATATATACTTATCTGCTCAGTTTGACGCCTTAAAAATAATCATCAGATACGAATGGGAGTCCACGGTCATGTTGGACCTCTACGTAACTGAGCAATTGCATATACTTGTTAAATATACAAATATAAACAAAAAGTATGTTTTACTACAATAATAAAATAATTTAATTTAATAGTTTCAATAATTCTTAAAAAAAAAAAAAAATACTAATAAAATATGTAAAAAGCTTATTATTTTTAAGACTTCAACTAATACTTCTAATCTGAATGATTAAAAATTTTGGAAAAATTAACTATTTAATGCTACCTATATTGGGTGTTAATTTTTAGTTCAGTCCTTTAATAATATTAAAAATCTGGCAGAGATGTGAAGTAACTAATATTTTTAATTTGAAATGCTCAGAAATTATGTTAAATTATTATGTCATTTAATATTAACCTTGTAACTAATGCATCTGATCTGTTTTTGTAATGATTATAAAAAACTAAATTATTTAATAATATGATAAATGCTGTAGATATTGAAAGTAATTAATACCACTAATCAAGAACTTAATTGTTTAAATTCTTGTTATAAATAACTATAAAAATTTATACTATAATTTAGGATAATTTAAAAAAGAAACCAGCTGACGACTCAAGCGATACTGATTCAGATATTGAATCAGTTGATTCAGAAGCTGAAAAACAAACCGACTTGAAAATAGAAAAGAGTATTACCAAGATTTTGGAGTCGATGTCGTCAAGCAATTCGAATGAAGACGATGATGATGATGATGATAGCGATGGGGATGAATGTGACGTGGATAGTGATACCTCTGCGATGAATATGCGTAAACAAAAGAGTTTAAAAAAGAAGAAAGAACATAAGGAAATACCAAAAATTGTTGAGGACGAAATTGAAGATATATGGGCTAATAAAACACCAGAATATAAACCATCCACACCAATTCCTGTAAGGCACCGAAAAAGAACTCAAGAAGTTACTGTGAATGAGGAAGCAGCAAATGGTGGAGAAGTTTTAGCGCCAACATTTGTTCCAAATAAAAATGATATGAAGGAAAATATAATTATAAAAGTTGCAAGTATTATTAATGAATATAGTGTGAACAGTGAAGAGGGTGAAGAGCACGATCTCAAACAAAATGATTTAAAAATGAAATTGCTTGATAATATTCAAGAATTAAGAAACAAGAATGTAGAATTAGAAGTGAAAGGGAATATTAAATGTAAAGAAAATGCACAAAATAAAGAAAATGCACAAACTCAGTCCAAACAAAATAATAGCAATGAAACACAAATTAATAATGATAATGAACAAAATGCTGATGATGATTCTTTAAATTTACCACAGTTCAGTCGTTCATCTGTCGGCGGTTCTAAAATTTTAACCAACTGCCATCCCTATAATCCTATTGATTACGATGGACTGGAATTCGAATCCCGCTTCGAATCTGGTAACCTGGCAAAGGCTGTGCAAATAACTCCAAGTTACTATGAATTGTATTTACGTTCAGACTTGTACACAAGTCGATCCAAGCAATGGTTTTATTTTAGAGTAAAAAAGACTAGAAAAAATCGAAATTATAGGTATGTATAGCCAGTACATAGAGGAATATTCAAATTTTATTTACCATATATCATTTTTTTTTATAAAAATTTTGTTAATTTATTGTAATTTTGTTTATTTGTTCTAGATTTTCTATTGTTAATTTAGTCAAATCGGACAGTTTATTTAATGATGGTATGCGTCCGGTCATGTATTCTACAATCGATGCCAAGCAATCAAAAATAGGTTGGCGACGTTGTGGCGAGAATATAAGCTACTATCACAACGAAGAGTAAGCACAAAAAAATTTTATTTGATCTAAAATACATGAGAACTTAGACTAAAACAAAAAATATATTTTATTATTATATTTACAGTAGTTCTGGTGAAGAGGAGGAGAATGCTTCGTTTACTTTGACTTTTAATATAGAATTTCAATATGACAATGATACGGTTTATTTTGCTCATTGTTATCCTTATACATATAGCGATTTACAGGTATGACACTTCTATATCATTTTTTATTATATAGAGTAAAATTAGAGTAAATTAAGGAGTCTGCAACAGACTCAACATAGATCGCCGAAAATAACAAAATGATATATTTTCTATTTATATTAAATCAAAAAGTTCAAATATTAATAAACGACAACAACAAATTTTTTATATTTAATTAATACACTTTTTTTGGCTGATCTTACAGCTGTTTTGAGTTTAGCCATTATTAATGATCGTTAGAAATAACTGTTATTGGTCAATTAGTTACAAAGTCGGTTTTAGAACTCTCAGCTACTTGAACTAAATTACTATGGTGTCTCCTCTTTACTGTCGAGAACCTTATTAAAATCCCTCGGACTGCCACTCTGCCGATTGAGTGGTCAAAAGTGAATGCTAATGGTCACAACAGATCTACTGGTTATTATAAAATGATAAACTAACGCAACTTATTAGTCTACTGTTTACATACAATAAAAAAATATCAAATAAGGTTTATAATTTTAGTGCAATTGGTAATAAGCAGACTTAACTGAAAACTATTTTTTGACTTATCTGTTTCGCCTTTATTTTTGTATCCCCACCGCATCCATCGATAATGCCTCTACTGATTAGTTGGTATATAATATTATGGACTGCAGACGCCTAAATATCGAAGTAGTGATGTCTATAAAAGCACTCGAGAAATAATATGCATTAACTTCTAAGTCAAAAGTTATTTCTAAAGACCACTATAAAACAAAAAAACTGAATTGGTTAAATATAAAAATATTGTTGTTTCAATTCACTACTATTGGAACTTTTTTGTTTCAAAACCAGATTTTTCATATTTCCATATATGACATTTGGATAAAAATTATAGAAATATTTATTTTTAGAAATCTTTTAACAAAAAGTATAAGACTTTTATATCTTGTATATATTTTTCGTATAAAATTTTGAATAACAAAATACTTTTTTATATCATAAATTTAATCATTTATTTTCTTTTTTCAATAACAATTATCTTTTATATCTCAAGTGTTAAATATTATTTATTTTCTCCTCATATAGGATTACCTGATGAATATACAAAAGGATCCAATTAAATCGAAATTCTGCAAATTAAGACTTTTATGCCGCTCATTAGCTGGTAATAATGTATATTATTTAACAGTGACTGCACCATCACCGGATGAGCACTCATTAAGAGTAAGTGAAAAAAATGATAACCCATTCGCATAACAATTCCCATTTGTCCCAGTAGATAAAAGCAAAAACAATATCCGTTCCAAACTTTACTAATTGTTAACACAATCAATTTCAATTTTTACTTGGCTAGTTTTTCGGAGGACATACTTTTCATACACCCCATACACAATATCGTCTCGCTGCACAAATAATAACCAATTTGCCTCTAAGGTTTTAATTAATTTTAAATGAGCCAAATGCACAATTTGCTCTTAGCAGTTTTGCTTGTTTTAGTCATTGTCGGGCAATTGCTGCCAGTTTTTATGGATAATATTCCATGAAAAGTAAATGTTGACTAATGTGGAAGTAGGAAATGAGATTGTGTAGGAAATCCTTTAGAAATATATGTATATTGCAGTTCGTCCAAGCAATGGTAAAAGATTTTTAGAAATTCTAACCACATAAAATTTGTGTGTGTGCCATATAATCCCTATACTGATTAATTTAAAGGAAAAAGGAAAATATATAGGTTAGTAAATTTTAATATTAAGAGGATTAATTTTTTTTTGTATTTTATTCAAGTTACATTCGTCCCCACTAAATGGGTGTACTTTTTTTTATTTATTTTTAAATAAATTAAGGACCTGTATTGTTCACTTTAATAAAAGTCAAATTAGTGTCTTTGATATAAATTACAAAGTTTACAGATTTGTAAGGAAACCCACAAATTAAATAGCCAGGAAATTATAAATTACCGTACAACCACTAACTTTTCTTGAGGTTAAAATAAATATTTTAATCTTAAGCATAAACTTAAGTAACCTTTAGACAGCGTACGGTAGCAAAATACATTAAAAGTTAAATCAGATTTCAGAATTAAATAATAATTTAAAAATCAAATTTTATTTTGTTAATTTTTTTTCTACGAAGTACTGTATAAAGCAATAAAAAAGTTTTAAAAAAATTCAATGTTCAGCCCCGGGAAAAAAGTTTGTGACGAAGAATGTAAAATAAAAAGTTTCCAACAAATAAGAAAATTAGAAAAGTTAGCATTCATTCATGAAATAACTTCATTAGAAATGACACACTTTAAGGATATAAAAATTATACAAATTTTCCGAAGCTAAAGAATATAAAATCTAAAGAAAACGTCATTTTTAAGAATGAAATAGAATTATTCCATTTGGATGTTAGTAATGTAATTAGTTTTAAAGAGAAGTAAAAATTTTTTGCTTAATTACTTTTTTTATAAGAAATAGAAAAACGGTAAAATGAAAATGGGAAGAACAATAATCCTTTTTAAAATTAAAATAATTTACTTATGTATCTTTATACCAGGGAGGGTTTAAGCAATTGTAAATGGGTGCATCTAGAAAATTTTTTAGGGGTTGCCTATTTATTTTCAACAATTTTCCTTTAACTAAATACAAGCTATTTAGAGTTTTTATAAGTAGAGTTCACGAGTGAAACTGTGTCAGAGTAAATGCTTTATCAGTGTTTTCTGACATAGTGGGCTCTTTCAAATGCTCGGAAAGAAAAGTAGTCTAAGCAGATATATGGCAACGACAATTAACTTTAAGAAAGCCATTAGCAAAATGGCGACTACAGACACCAACCGCAACCGTGTAAGATTTTTAGACCAATCTTTGGACAAATATTGTTGTTGGTTGATATTAGTGGTTGCAGACCTCCCTATTAGATCTAAGTAGCAAATATACGCCATATCCTTGGCTCAAGCACGTAGAAAAGTTTTTGTCGGATTGTGATTAAAAAATAATATCATTTGTGTAAAATGTATATTTGCGATACTCGCTAGGCTCATTAGTTCGTAGACTGCCATAGTGACAAGATTAAAACATAAACAGTTCTGTTTTTCTTCTTCTCCCTAGCTTTTACATTTTTAAAAAAAAAGGGTATATTTAATTTACCTGTTAGTTCTTTCAAGAGTTTTTTCAGTTCGATGCTAGCCGTGACAAATAGGATTTATATTCCCAACAAATTCAAATTTGTTTTCATTTTTATAAAAGGAAAGAGCAAGTTCTGTTGAATTCGTACATGATTCAGTTGACGTTCCGTATCGATTCACATTTGTGAGCGATTCATATTTGTGAACATGAATCTATTATTAAATAGACGAATTTGCAAGGGGTTAATAAGTTCCAACAAAGGTGACTATCATGTGGTCAGCAGAAACAATAGTGACAATTGTATTTTAAACTACATACGATATATATATAAAGCAGTCACTTTCCATTGAAACATGCTAACAATGGTGATTGCAGCCTTATTGTACTGTTTCATTACCATTTACAAAAACAAATATACTCTTTGGAGTAAGAATAAAAAGTATCTCTATCAAAAACAATGCCCGGATGCATACCCATAACGACTAAATCATAAATTTCGATACGAATTGCTTCCCCATCGACAGGTTTCGCTTTCAGCTACTATTTCCAATTCCGAAAAAATGATTGACTTTTTTCGAAAGGATGGAAACTTTTTTCGAAAGGATGGAAACATATTTTATCCATAGTGATTCGTTGGAATTAAAGTATTGAACAGTAATGAGAATATATGGAGTAAAAAATATGGAGTTTTTATGCTTTTCCTAAAAATTATTGACTTCGTTCTTCTAATAGATCTGACTCTCTTCTTTTAATTTTTATTTTATTTGAAAATCGACTCAATTAAAGCTCAATTTTTAGAATATAAAATTATATGAATCCTTTCTTTATATAATTTCTTATATTTTATTACTACTAACAGTTCCATTTTATTTTCCCATTCACTTTTTATTGACAAACAAATGTTTCAATCATATTTTTGAATTCAGCGCAAAAAATCGATTGTTGTATCTGCACGTGTACATCCAAGTGAAACTCCATCATCATGGATGATGAAAGGACTAATGGATTTCATAACTGGTGAAACAATAGTGGCCAAGCGTTTACGTCACAAATTCATATTCAAATTGATACCAATGCTTAATCCTGATGGTGTTATTGTTGGTAACACACGTAATTCGCTTACAGGCAAAGACTTAAATCGACAATACCGCACCGTCATAAGAGAATACTATCCATCCATTTGGTATACAAAAGCATTAATTAAAAGGTCAGTTGCAAATGCAGTACGCAAATACAAATTGGTACGAAACGCGAAAAGGTGCTTTTTTTCTTTTTTTTTATCTATGTTTTTTATTCTATTATTTTTTATTCTTTAATTTTTAATTTTCTTTATTTTTATACAAATATTATTCAAACAATTTTTTTAGTGTATAATTATCTTCATAATTTTTTCTAATTATTCTAGACTGGTTGATGAATGCGGTGTTGCTATGTACTGTGATATGCACGCTCATTCTCGCAGGCACAATATTTTCGTTTATGGCTGTGAGAATAAACGTAATCCGGAAAAGAAGCTGACGGAACAAGTTTTTCCGCTAATGATGCATAAAAATGTGGCAGATAAGGTGAGTTGAGTTAGCTTTGCAAGAATTCACTTTTATGAAATTCTGCGCTTTTCAAATGGATTCGAATGGATTCGTTAGTTTCTACAATATTTCACTTGCAGCAGCTAAAAAATTTTAATGAGCAGAGCATTCCTATGAGTATTCCTCACATTTTCCCAATTTTATTTTACTTAGTTCTCCTTTGAATGCTGTAAATTTAAAGTGCAACGCAGCAAAGAAGGCACTGGACGCATTGTGGTTTGGATGTTAGGCATAACAAACAGTTATACCATTGAAGCATCCTTTGGTGGAACTTCGTTGGGTTCACGTAAAGGCACACATTTCAATACAGGGGTAAGTAAAATACTTTAAATATATTTATATATGAAATTACCATATATAGAATAATATTTAATGGATTAGAAATAAATCTTGGAAAGCCTAATAAGATATTATCCTTATGAACGAAATTTTTGAAATTCAAACATTAAACTACTCTAATAAAAATTATTCATACATAATTACTACACAATAAAAGTTCAACAATAAACATTATATCAAATGTCATATTAGAACTTAAAAAAATCATCCTCCTCAAGGCTAAAAAGTTGCCCTTTTCATAGTTTTACTCTATGAGTTAAGTTACAAAAACAATTTCTATCAGTTAAACCCAAATGTAAAACCAACAAATTATTTACAAAAAAAAAATAGGACAAATTTTATGGTTTATATGATTTGATGAGCTGCTTTCGTAGTAAATTTTGAGATACTCTGAACCATAGCTAAAATAATAATGACGTACTTCAGCTGATATGAATGTCGTAGTTGATAAAATTTTTGACATAAAAACGGTGGTCTCCTTAAAAGGGAAAAAGGAAACCATGTAGGGTGGCACATTAATGTTGAGGGATGACTGAAATGGCCCATAAAATATACACGAAGAACTAATAAAATGAGAATATAATAAATGCGATGAAGATTCGCGTCGTTTCTTATATTGATGGCACTGTCAGTAATAGGAAAATGAAAATAATGAGTTTTGCTTCTTCATAATGAAAGATTAAGTATTCTTATAAATTGTATAAGTCTGTAAAAAAAACGTAACTACATTTTATGACGAGGTCATTAATGTGAAAGCACAGCATATCTTATTAAAGTGAAAGTAAAAAAAGATACTAAATGAATGATTTTATCGTAGAAAGAAAACAAATAGTAAAAACTTATCGTTAAAAATTCATTAAGAAAATTGCTCAGCTTAAGATTTGACATAGTAAAATAAGTAAATAAAACACATACATATATGAAAAAAAAGTTAACTGTACTGGGTTGCTTAGATAGTTCTGTAATAAATCAGTGAAGTTTTGACAATAAAATCGGATATTCTTATTAACAAATTAATAATATGGATCTGTGAGACTAACTACTATATTCAGAAGATATAATAATAAAATCAATTTTTTTCATTTCCTTTGCATTAATATTTCCAAATATGTATAGGATTTATATATATTCAAACGAATAGTACAACTGTCATGTGATATTTTAAGTAGGTTTTGAAATTACAGTAATCGTAGGGATTGACTTGAACCTATCAACCACAGTGGGTTATATAAAACTTGTATATAAAACTCGTTAAAATCATTTTTTAATCTTTAATGAGGCCTTATATACGTATTATAAACAGGTCTAGCAGCTGAGTTAGGACCTTTAGATAATAAGCCCCAAATATGTTATTCGGGCCTATGTTATGCAAACGGTGTATAGTGACAATGCAAATGTTAAGATTCATTGAATCCATTAAAGTGAATTAACAATTTCCTAGCATGGTTCCTTACTCCATAGTAACCCTCTACAAAACTAATATATCTGTTACATCTACGAAGTATTTTAACTAGTTTTTCCTATTTAAGAGTAACAAAATCGTGTAGAGATCTCAGCACATCGCTGATCGTCCACATTATGTTTTTATACAGAAAAACAAGTATTTGTATTATAATATTGAAGATATTTCAGTTGTTATGAATGCGTTTCGCTTTATAAAGGTCTATATAACATATACCATATATCATAACAAAATGTAATATACATAGATCAACGAAACTATATATATTTCCATTCTATATATCACCTATTTTAAGGCAAGCTATAATTTTCTTAATGTAACAACTTTTCATTAAAACATATGTTCAATTTCCCAGCAAAAGTCACTTTTTATTTTAAAGCTGCCAGTATAAATAAACCAGATATCTCTGAACATAAAGTCGGCAGCAAATTTTTTTTTTAAAATTAAAAATTAAGAAGTTTTAATTAATATTTCCAACTACAAAGTTACGTCACTCTTCAAAAAGATAGAAATGAGGTTCTTATCAAATTACGTGAAGAGATATTTTAACCTGCATTACCATTTTAACAAGATGAGAGTACACAAGATCCAACAAGGAAGATGTTAAATCGGGAGCTATGACTCTTGTTTGATATTTAAAACTTCACAACGTACAATATTTAGTTATTCAATCGAAAGGTTTAATATGTTTTATGCTGTTACGGACAGTTTTGAAACTGAGGATCTATTTATCTGTGAATTTGTATCTCTAAAATCTATAAATTTATTATGTATATTACTCCTATATGCTAAATCTCTTATCTGTACTCCAATTATTAAAATATTATTAATTTCAATTATTGTATTTAAAATTGATAATAATTATTTGTAGGCGTGCGAGAGCTAACCGAAATAAACCATATATACATATAACTGTAGAAAGACCTTATTTCCTCAACTTTAAAAACTGATCGTTTAAGCTTTTAAATGGTTTACAGTATAGAGTAATTTTCCATATTCATATACCTAAGAGCGCCAGAATGCGTTACCTTTAAGTATCTATATGCTTTGTAGTAACTTTAACCAACTGTTTATTCATTTAACTTAAATATACGCTCAAATTTTCTTTAAAAAAACATTTTAGGTTCTTATGAAAAATTTAATTACTTAAGTAAAAATGCAAAACAAATTAAAAAATATTTTTTACTAATTACCTGATAATATGCTTAAAGCAATGGTCTTGAATTGAAAACTAATTAAATCTAAAAACATACTTAGCCAAATACTCAACATGAAAAACGATTTTCCAATACCTATTTCCACAAAAAACGGAACAAACCTTAAAACCAAATTGTCTGCAAACATTAACAAAAATACGTGTTAGAAAATGGTTCACTTTAGTAATTTTCCTCACGAAATTTTCAGTTCTGAAACTTGACTCTGTTGCTTCCGTGGGGATGAAGCTTGAAGAGCATTTAACAGAAAACCATAAAAACGTTCGAAACTGTAAATTCCCGTAATTAATTCCATTTTCATCAATTTTTCTTTGATATTGTGAGGGCATTCGAAAAGTGTAAACATTTGTACAAATTTCAAACCATTTTTGTTGTAACTTTTGTGTGATTTTGAAGTGCTTTTGAAATGCAAGACACGTTCTTAAAACGCCTCTTAAGCTGCTTTTACGTTTGACCGCACAAGCAAACATACAAGTACACTCCCATCCTAGCACATCCATCCTACCTACCTACCTACCTACCTACCTAGCTATCTACCTACCAACACCAAACGAAGCTAATTTCGCCAGATATTTTACGTTAAGTACGCTACGTATAACGTAACTAATGTAAGATATGTAAGAAATGCTTCAGTAAGCATTTACTTGAAATAAAAGTAAGCAGAACCAAAAAAAAAAAACTGAATGAGTTCATACCCAAACCCAACCTAAGCCCAAAGTAGAAACCATAAACTCAAGACAAACAGGAACACAGGAAAACAAAAACGAGCAGACAAATCAATGAGATAATGGATTTAGTATGCGTCTTGAAGGAAATTGTTTGAAATGGCTTAGCTTTAAAAGCAAAGATTTTGAGGGAAAAATAATAGCATTGAGTGGGTACTATAAGTACAAAGGTATATACATATATATACACGTGAGTATGTGAGTGAAATATAGATATTCGAAATCCGTGATTGGCACTTTACTCAAATAAAGGAAATTAGTCTAATTTACTGAATAGACGTTGCTTGGTGGTTGAATGGTTTTCTTCTTTGAGTTGCGATGTAAAATTAGAAATCCATTTTTTTATATTTCTCAACTATCTTAATAATCGGTTTTGTTATTTTTTTTTTGTTTGAAGAGTATTAACTTTTATTTCGAGCGCTATATTTATCTATATATATTTATATATGTATTTCGTAAAATTCGCTTTTGGCTTCATCTAGAGAATTCCTAAATTATCTTAACAATAATTTAATTTTTTTAACATTTTTTTTCTTCTCTCATTTTCAGGATTACGAACACATGGGTCGCGCTTTTTGTGAAACTTTACTAGATTATTACGATGAAAATCCGAATAAAGTAAAAACACAAACAAAATATTTAAAACAAGTCAGAAAAATACGCAAGAAGGAAAAACTTGATAGAAAATTAGCTAAAATTAATAAAATGGCCGAACAGGGATGTATAATCGATGAAAAGTTAAAAATTATAAAAAAATTAGAAAAAATTCGTCTACCAAAGTTTTTTTAGACGAAACAAAGTTCACTAATTTATAGTCTTGTCCAGTTTTGTCAATAATGTTCTTGAATATTTTGTGTTTATATAACATATTTTATTTATGTTTAATCTATGTTTAGTTTAAGAATATTTCAGATTTTTATTTTTATTTATATTTTATCAAAAACCAGTAACAAAAAAAATCATTAAAAATTATTTTATAAATTTTAAAATAAAACAACTTTACCCTATTGGAATAATAGGTCTGTTTCACGAGCCACTCGTAGTAACTTTGAGTAACACTGGGTATACAGCAAGCGTTCCATCAACAAGTTTTCGAGTAAATGTGAGCATCTCAGAAAGTAACATCCCTGTCTTAATTTGAAAATGCTACACAGACTTTACTCATACATTTTACGTCTGTTCCACGAGCTACTCATAGTAACTTTGATTAACACTGTGTATATACAAGTGAGTTCCACCAGTAAATTTTCGAGTAAATAAGAGCATCTAAGAGAGCGTAACATCCCTGTCGAAATTTGAAAATGCTACACAGACTTTACTCGTACATTTTATTTTGTATTGAAGTGTGAATCATCTGTTTTGGTTTGAATTTCAATTTTTGTATTGTTTATTTGCGCCACACTGGTGTTCTCACCAAACTTTACACAAAGCTGTTCCATGGAAATCTGTGTAAAGAGCGAAATTTGGCACTTTATTATGTTACGCACTCAGTTTGTACTTCACTTGTGTTTTACTTGAGTTTTATTACGAGTAACTCGTGGAACAGACCTAATATGATAGTGATAACTCCCACTTACGTCGTGATATTCAAATATTGGGTCCCGACAAACACATATATAGTCAAATGTTTTCGAATAAAAAATGTCATACTTTATATTGGCTGAAATCGGTTTTACAATGTATTTTGTTGTTGTGTCACTGTCCTTCTGTATTGAAGTTTATATCTAATTAATCCTAACGACCTTAAAAGCCGTACTAAATGGATGCGCTCATAGACATCTTTCTTTACTGTGTAATACTGCTGTCCCCAGTTTTTATTTTTTACACAAAGTGCGTTTTTTTCTAAAAAACTTTTTCAAATTTATTAATTAATTTTTTTTTTATATATATTTATGGATACAATAAATTTTTTAAGAAAGATATTTTTACTGGTTTTTGATAAATTTTGTATATCACTTTTACACTGCATTACAAGGTTTGGTAATGAGATCTAAACATCATGCAATGAATTACTTTCTTAAAATTTCTTTTTTTATATGTTAAATATTTTTATATTTTTTAATTCATTCAACTGCCTATAGTTTTTTACTGCTATTAAGGTAAGTCAAGTTTATTACGTTAAGAGATGTTAAGAGAAGTCCGTAGCCTAAAATATTTCAAACATACATAAAGTAAAAATCGAGATTACATTTTTAATCTTTAGTTAATTAAAGATTTTAAAAATTTACTTTTTAACGATTATATGAAACCGTACCCAGATCGTGCCAAATTAGTTTGAGGACATTACTAATAATAGTTACTAATAATTCACACATTTAACATTAAAAACAGAAATTTAAATTAATTAATAATACTTAAGGTATTTTTATTTTTAATTATTATTTCATATTAAATTATTTTTATCACTAAAAATTTAAATTAAATATTAAAAGAATTTTACTTAAATTTATTAATAATTTTAATTAAAAACTTTAAGCAAGATATATTGATTTGAAATTATTATTGGAAGTATTTTTTAATTAATTTTATTTAAATTTAAATTATCTTTCGAATCAGTTATATACTATTCAAACTACTAATTGTACTATTAATTATGTTTATAATGTTAATGTGTGAGTTTTTCGAAGTTATAGTATTTAATATATAGTTAAAATATATTTTATTGATAAGAAGCACATTTTTGTACACTATCGCTTTTTTAGTAAAAATTTAATTTTAAGATTTAGTTTTTTATGAACAAATACTTTATATTAATTAATAAACACTATACTTAAAATATTGAAATATTTTATTTTTTTTAAATTACAGCATGTTAAGGTCTTAATTGCGGACCTCAAAAAAAAATATGCTCGTACTGTCTCAGAATTAAAATAGATATAAATAAATGTTTATTTATATCTTTTCTCACAATGCAACTTTCAATAATCTCAAGTCTTGACTTATAAATCTATTAAACTTAAGGTGAGGTTTTTCTTTCTGAAATTAGACTAAAACGATTTTTAAAATTTTTTATAAAAAAAAATTGGGGTTTTTAGGAAAGTATATAATAATTCTTATATCCCTATTTTTTTGAAAATTATTATTTTCGTAAGAATTCAACGTGAGAGCAGTTTTTGAAAAATTCTTTTAAATAATTTTACCAAAATAAAAAACAATATATTCAAATGTATATAAGTATATTTTTTTGAATGTGTCCTCATCAAAAGAGCATCAACGTCTTTGCATTTAATTTGCATATTGAAGTAAGGAGCCTTATCAGGTGATTCATGACAAATAAACAAATCTCATTTCAACTCTCAGGTTTTATCAGAAATATTTATAGGTCACAAAATAAACCCAGGTTGGTTATGTTATAAGACTTGTGCAATGGTTATCTCGTCAATCTTAATTAAACTAAAGTTAAAAATAATTAATTTATAATTAATAAAAAAAAATTATTAACAAATATTTTATACGCTTTCCTTTTCATACTAATTTCTCAGCATTATTAATTCGTTATGAGTTCCAATAAAAAAAATTTTCATTATGGTCTTGTCCTTGTCTTATTAACATAGATTATTGTGAGTTCACTTTTTTATAATCTTCTTTCTTAGTTGCTTTATTTTGTTTTTTGCAACTTCATTAAAAATAAATAATTAATAATTAAAAAATACTTAGCAAAAATTAATAATTTAACAAAACTTCACCAACAGGAGCGCTTACGACTGAAAATTATTGAAAGACTGTTACAAGAGGGTTCAAGCGCCGACGAACCTTTAAATATACCACTTTCCGATTACTCCAGGTATTTGTTATATACCATTTTTTTATTTTATAAATTTCATTATATATAATTTCTTATTTTTATATAGCGATGAAGGCACAAGTTCAAGCTCAGATAATGAAGGTAAAAACTCATTGTGTTTGTCTGATTTTGAAGGACCTTGTTGCGCGCCAATAAAAGCACCGCCAACCTCACCTATAGAAAATCTAGAAGTACGACGGGTATGTAAAATATTATTTTATGCAAAAAAAATGTTTTTATCATCGTTTCTTGTGTTTGCTTTTTCAAATTGTAGTTATAACTATCATTAGTATCATCACAATAATAATTTTGTTGCTATATTTTTAATTTATCACATATTTATTTTAATTTTTTTTTTTATTTTTGTACTTTTTTCTTTATTTTAATTAAGTTTAAACTAAAACGTATGCGTCTAATTATGCGTGTACTCGATCGTATATACTTCCAACCGATTTTGAAAAAGAAGTTGCAATTATTGGACCCGAGTAAGAAGAAGTATAAAATTAAGAGACATAAGAAAACTCAAGTTAAGCGCTTAAGTGCAGGACAAAATACTGAAGAGAACAAACAGGATAATACGAAAGTTGTGCCTGGTAAAAAGCCCAATACAAATCAAAAAAAAGGAAAAGGAAGACCTTCGGTAAAAGAAATATGGGCTAAGAAAAAGCACAAAGTAGTTAAAAGAAAACTACGTCTATGGTTAGCAAAACGTCAAATTGTAATTTATAGAGCGAAGAAGGTAAACACATTATACTGTATAGAAATCATAGAAATCATACATATATGTTAGATGAACTACTCTTAACCAAATTCCACTATATTTTCTACGATTATAGAAAGTATCCTCTATCACAATTTTTTTCTCTATTTCTGAATTGCAACACAAACGCAGAATATAAAGGTGTATAACACTGCACTTCCTGTGACATGAATTTGCACTTATTGCACGTGTGTACATTACAGAACACTAGGAGAAAAAAAAATTGAAAAAAAATAATGGTGGAAAAAGTTCTTTAAAGCACTTTTGATGCGCATAAACTTTTCCAAACATAAAATTTTATTAACATTATTTAAGAATCGCTACAAAAGGTCAACAAAGCTGACAGGAACTAATAATTCTCTATTGATTTAAAAAAGAAAATTCTTCCAACATATAAAGAATTATTTATAATTACAAAATAAGTCAACTATGTTAATGGTTATGTGGGTCACTATTTATTGATCTAATTATCTAATTAAAGTTATTATTTCTAAAGGCAAAGATACGATCGAATCAGAAAAAGAGAAAAAAAACTAATTGTAACTAAACCAGTTAATATATTATTCTGATAGTTGTCAAAAAACTTTCTCCATAGCCACTATAATTAGATACCTAAGAAAATTGAGCATTGTTGGTTTAATTGGCTGAGATATAATTTTAAGCGCCAGTCAGTCAATTTTAAATAAATAATTCAGTCAGTAACATCTAGTTGAATATATCTATAACAGCCCTAAAGAAATAGAGGTTCTCTTAATAAAATTAATTACTCTTTGCCTACCTATCTAACTCTCTAGCAATGAATTTTTAATTCGTTATTGATTTTTCATATTGACAAAATTATTCCTATAATTAATTATTTACATAATTTTTTTTTATATTTATTGTAATATATAGAACTAAATTAATTTTTTATTTTACTTGAAAATTTTTAGAAATTAAAAAAAAAATTATCCTTCGAGCCGGATTTGAACCAGCGACCTATGGATACCTATACTTAATTTTTTTAAATTCTACAGTCCACCGCTCTACCAACTGAGCTATCGAAGGCTGTACTGAGTTTGTGTTCAATGCTACTTTTGGATATTTTGGCTACAATCAGTACACATTTTAGCTAATACACAACCCCATAGTGTGTCTAAGCTATGACAGCCATTTTATAAAAATTATAAATGTTAGGAAAGTAAACGGTCTGGCAAAGCGAAAGTTATAAACTACATGAATATAAATTTAAAATTATATATATATATTAATAAAATTAATAAAATATAAATAAAAATATATAAATAAAAATATATAAATAAAAATATATAAATAAAAATATATAAATAAGAATATATAAATAAAAATACATAAATAAAAATACATAAATAAAAATATATGAATGTTATAAAATATTTATTATATTTAAAAAAAACAAATACAAAAAATTATTATATTAAAAAAAAAGATTCAAAATAAAATAAATATATTTAATAAAAAAAAATTAAAATCAAATAAAAAATTGGTCTGTTCCACGAGCTACTCGTAGTAACTTTGAGTAACACTGTGTATACACAAGTGCGTTCTACCAGCGAATTTTCGAATAAGGAGAACATCTGAGAGAGCGTAACATCCCTGTCGAAATTGAAAAATCTTACACAGACTTTACTCGCACCGTTTATTTCAAGTAAAATTTGAGTGTTGTGTGAATCAGCTGTTTTGCTTTGAATTTCAATTTTTGTATTGTTTATTTCCGCGGTACTGACATTCTCACCAGATTGTACACAAAGCTGTTCCATTAAAATCTGTGTAAAGTGCGTAATTTGGCACATTTTTTTTATGTTACGTTCTCAGTTTGTAATTTCAGTGTAAAGACTTCAAACCTTCTCAATTTTATTCAATAGAGCCATAGATAATGGATACATTTGAATTGTTCATCTCTCAAGATATTTAAAAGTATATTTTCCAATTACATTTTTTATGTAGAGAGTATCTAGGTCTTTATGGATACAATATTAGTCACAAACTTAGTAACAGCGCAATCAATCTGAGCGGTTTGATTTCCAGCTTTCTACCATAACACAAACATAAAAATTTAAAAAATTTTTAAAGAATATATTTAAATATAAAAATATACCTATAATGTGAGGCTTTTTTATGATGAAGCCTCTGACGATATTTCACAACATTTAAGTTAAAAAAACGAAGACCAGGTTTCACATTAAAAGTCTGACACATGGACTTGGTTCAATTGAATCGTGAAGACGATTAAGTTTTGAGCTTATCGTACTTTCGAAATATATAAATATTTTATAACCTTAAAAAGTGTAGCAAGACTTCATATAACTTTAATATCAATCGTTGTCTATTATGTTCATGAACTAAAATTTTAATTAAAAAAACAAAAAAAAAATTATAACAATTCTCTTATGTAAACTTGGGCACGCAGCACTTAACACCTTCGATAGCTCAGTTGGTAGAGCGGTGGACTGTAGAATTTAAAAAACATCAAGTATAGATATCCATAGGTCGCTGGTTCAAATCCGGCTCGAAGGAATTCTTTTTTTTATTTTTTAATTGAGAAATATTTAATTAATAAGTATTTTTTAATTCATTAGAAGCGCACAAGGACCAAACTAATACATCGTAAAAAAGAGGAACAAGCACGTATACCACTTGATATGCCAACGACAGATCCTGGCACGGATCTACAACTAACAGACGAAGAATTTTTCATCGACAGAGATATACCAAGTAGTAATACAATGCCGCGTAGAAGCAGAGTAATGGCTGCGCAGATTGACACACGCCTTCGTTTCAATTTTCAAGTTTTTGGTGACAATGCCAAGCAAATGCCGCCCGAACTTATTATAACGTCACCAACAAAGAAACCAAATGAAGATTGCGCTCATGAATCTAAAATACCACCGAATATCACGCCTGATAAAAACCGACCTACTGAACTGCCACTTATAGGTTTGCCTGCCAGACGTACACACTCATTTAATAGTATTAATCAAAATGCAAAGCACTTATTGAAATCTAGGTGCGTTCATAACAAACGTAGAGCTTCTTTATAAAATTATATAAGTAAAATATAAACTGTAACTTCTTAATAAATATTTTAATATAGAACACAGAATCCATTTGAAACGTATGCACAACAAGAACGAAATAAGGAATTAGAGTTGAAATTGTCATTGAAAAAGAAAGTCTGGACAGGCACATCGCAGCAAATTGTTGATAATAAACATTCCTTAGAATGGGGCTTGAAACCAAGAACACCCATCAAAAAAACGAGTGTAATCGCAAAGCCACCAATTCGATATGATGCAGATGCAATACTGAAGTAAGTTTAAAAATTATTAAAACAGTTTTAAAGAATTTTATATGTATTTGTATGCTTACTTTAAATATTTTCTTTTTCTAGTGGCTGCTCAAGAAAACTTTTGGAAATACAGCATCCAATCCAAAAACTAAGAAATGACGATATGCCATATGAATTGACTTCACCAAGAATAGTACAGATAATAACCAAAGATACAGATAAAGACCTTCCTTCCTGTAGCAAGCCACAGAAAAGTTCTTCCAAAGCAGACGTCAACAAAGCAAAGCCCAAACGCAAGAGGTTATTTTTTTGCATTTCCACAAAAAATATATTTTTTTATTGGATTAATTTAATTTTTCAGAGCTGGTTTAACGAAATTTAGTAGTGCCACGCAAATAATACGGCGCCTAACAAAGAACAAGTCAAGTGGTAACGTACCAGCACCCTCTCGTCCAATAACTAATAATGTTTCCGTTGTCAATGTCCATAAGACTCGCAGTCAAGTTAATAAATTTAAGACTGGTGGTATTGTAGCTACAGCAATTCAGCCGATTTCGAAAAAACCAAGAAAAATACCAAGCAGTATTATCGCAAAACAAACTAACCAACAACCTGCCCTCACTGCAACGACTTTACATCATAATCACATATCAAAACTGAGGCCAATGCACGCTGCAGTGGAAGCCACCGATTTCGTGCACAAAGTGAAAAGGAAGTTAAAGCAAGCCAAAGCCTGAGACACCTAGTTCCCATAAACTAATTTGTTGTTGTAATTATAATAAATTAAACCAAAAGTGTTTATTTTCACATAAGGAGGCCTTATGAACGTTATAAAACGGAACTGTTACATTTTATTAATTTGATGAATGCATATATGTATAAAATTTTCTGTAAACTAAAATAGAAAAATCTCAATAAATAATACAAAATTTTTAATATAAAACACGTTGTAATACAGAATGCGGGTTCAAAGTCATATATTAATCAAATTGATAATTGCTTTTATCAACAATAATTGCACGTAAAATCTTTTGCAGGCGAACATTGACGAGAATATAAAATTGGTTTTATATTGAACATAAAATATGTAATTTTATTCACTTATATGTACAAATACAATTTCAAAGTATATATTTAATAATTTTGTATAAATATAATATTACAGTTAGAAAATCTCAAATAATATTCTGTATATGAAATTAAAACAAAATTTTACAACGAAAAATCAATTTTTGGCGGATTTATCAATTCACGTTCTTTGAACGAATTGTAATTATTTACAAAACTTGTTAATAAAACTTCGAACGTGTGTCTCTTCTGAAAATGACTCACCTTATTATATAAATAGTATTTTCACTTTTCAATCTAACTTTGAATATATTACATTTAGCAAAAGCAAATTGTTTTTTATGTAAACAAATGACTAAACGTCAGTATTCATTCTCTAATCTGTCAAATGTGCAGCAAAGTATGCAGACATCATCATTATGGATGCATTTTAGCTCTGTCTTCTCTAAATTTTTAGAAGGTATCATCATCAACGTTACAAAACAATGCCAACGAGAAAGGAATATAAAAGTGCATGAAATATACAAATAAATTAACCAAAGCCACAAAGGCATCATTTTTCTTTCTTTTTTTCGAACATTAAGTGGTGTTTAGATTAACACACATATATTTACATATTCGGAATATCGCAATAGCTAGGGTTCTATATCACAGCTGTATACAAATTTTTTTTGTACATGTAAATAACAAACTTTTCTCACCACCGTTTATACTTTCTTATAAAATTAAAGCACGGTGAATATATATTTTCGGCAGCTGTAAGTGAAGGCATTTGCATTTGAGGTGAAATAAAGTCAGTAATTGAAAATAAACAAGTAAATAAAATGTAATATATTATATTAACTAATGTACAATTTTTTAATAGATAATTATATAATATTTATTTAATAAAAGTACTGAAATGCCCACTATATACAAATGAGATATAGCAAATTCAGAACTTTACATAAAATAAATGAGATAACTCTGAAAATTATTTTTATAGTTTGTCTAATTGTTTTTTTTATGATCTCTCAAAAGTACTTATCTATTGAAATTTCCATTTAATTTATTAATATTTCATTTATAAATTTTATGTCTTATACTGCGTTTATATTGTGAGATTAAAAGTAGATCAAAGCAATCATCCAGATTAAAGTACTAATCTAATTGTTTAATCACAAATTTACCATACAAAAATTTATGTCGTTTTGGTCAAAATTAATTTTTATTCTCCTTAGAAATAGTATTTATTTTTCTGTTCAACTCTGTAAATTTCTTAATATCGTAAATTTTTTTACGATCTTAGAAGAATTGGAAGTGAAATGTCAAAATCTATTCAAAACAAACATTGAAAATCTGAAAATACCGAAGTGAATGAAATTTTTATTTTATTATGACAGCTTGTTTGGTTCATTTTTTATAATTTCTCAAAAATGTTTGTCTATAAAAATTTTCGTTTTGTTTGTAAATATTTCTTTTATAATTTTTGTGTCCTATAATATATTTTCTAAAACTTGGTGTGATCTTTTATCAAAGTCTGAAAAATATTTCTGTATTTATTTCATTGTCGTTAATTTTTAATGATTTTTCAAAAATATTTATCTATTGAAATTTTTATTTTACTTTCTAATATTTTATTAGCTACTTTTTTGTCGTGTAATATTTTTATACGGCTTTATATGGCATAGAAATTGTCCATCTATGTTTTACAGAACTGTTTGAGTTTGGGTTTAAAGGGTACGGTTTTAAGCGCATTTGCTTAAGAAATCTCCGTTGCCACCTAGCAATTCCACCGTCAAAGTTTTGAAATTTAAATAATAGTCAAAATAAATCAAGTTAATAGCCATCTATTAAAATGTCACTTTTAAAATATTTTTTTTGACATATTTTACGGTATGTCGTGTATAATTTGAAATTTAAAAATTCTTATTACCAAAAATTAATTAATTCAAACAAAAGAAAACAAGAGAAATTATAGAAGAACAAGGGTAAGCATTTTTATCTTATTGCTTTGATATATTGCATTGATATATTTTCTGCTCATATGACTTTAACGGATGACTGAAATTTTGCAATATATTTTTAAGAAACATTCATAACAGAGTGATTTTTGAATTTAACTGCATTAACACTTAAGACGTAATATTTTTGCAAGAAAAATTACGGCTATTATCAAAATTATGCTTGTTTAATCAAAAATTATCTTAACATATGAAATACAGTGTAATCATTTGTCATTAACAGGAAGTCACCACTTTGGTGAATCTGTCTGGCATCTCCGTTTAATATTGTGATACCAATAAGGAATTAATTGTTGCTTTAATGTCTTTTCGGAAAAATAAAACTACTTCGAATGTGAGCTTTTAAGATTTGCTAACTATGTTTAGTGCATTTGATGAGTGTATTATGTTAGCAGAAAAATTTGAAATATTGAGAGTCTTAAAAAAATGTGTGAAATAACTATAAGCAATAAAAGAAAATATTAATTTTAGGTCCTCTACAATAACCTCGAAAGACTAGGCAAAAATAAAACCCCATTATTCTTTTGTAACTATATATAACCAAATTTGTTGGAATATACTATACAAATTTTCTAATTAGAGCTAATAGGTCTTTTATTATAATCTATAACTTTAAAAGTTGATCTATTTTTACTTAAGCAAATTATATAAAAGTATGTAATTTTATAATCAATATATTAACTATTAATTATAAACATATTACAAAAAAAGCGACTATATCTGCTATACCTTTGGTTAAAGTAATATTTTATTAGCTACTTTTTTGTCGTGTAATATTTTTATACGGCTTTATATGGCATAGAAATTGTCCATCTATGTTTTACAGAACTGTTTGAGTTTGGGTTTAAAGGGTACGGTTTTAAGCGCATTTGCTTAAGAAATCTCCGTTGCCACCTAGCAATTCCACCGTCAAAGTTTTGAAATTTAAATAATAGTCAAAATAAATCAAGTTAATAGCCATCTATTAAAATGTCACTTTTAAAATATTTTTTTTGACATATTTTACGGTATGTCGTGTATAATTTGAAATTTAAAAATTCTTATTACCAAAAATTAATTAATTCAAACAAAAGAAAACAAGAGAAATTATAGAAGAACAAGGGTAAGCATTTTTATCTTATTGCTTTGATATATTGCATTGATATATTTTCTGCTCATATGACTTTAACGGATGACTGAAATTTTGCAATTTATTTTTAAGAAACATTCATAACAGAGTGATTTTTGAATTTAACTGCATTAACACTTAAGACGTAATATTTTTGCAAGAAAAATTACGGCTATTATCAAAATTATGCTTGTTTAATCAAAAATTATCTTAACATATGAAATACAGTGTAATCATTTGTCATTAACAGGAAGTCACCACTTTGGTGAATCTGTCTGGCATCTCCGTTTAATATTGTGATACCAATAAGGAATTAATTGTTGCTTTAATGTCTTTTCGGAAAAATAAAACTACTTCGAATGTGAGCTTTTAAGATTTGCTAACTATATTTAGTGCATTTGATGAGTGTATTATGTTAGCAGAAAAATTTGAAATATTGAGAGTCTTAAAAAAATGTGTGAAATAACTATAAGCAATAAAAGAAAATATTAATTTTAGGTCCTCTACAATAACCTCGAAAGACTAGGCAAAAATGAAACCCCATTATTCTTTTGTAACTATATATAACCAAATTTGTTGGAATATACTATCGAATCGAATACATTTTGAGTATTACAAATTTTCTAATTAGAGCTAGTAGGTTTTTTATTATAATCTATAAATTCGAAAGTTGATCTGTTTTGTTTACTTAAGCAAATTATATAAAAGTATGTAATTTTATAATCAATATATTAACTTTTACTATAAATTTATATAAACATATTATGAAAAAAGGGACTCTATCTGCTATACCTTTGGTTAAAGTAATATTTTTTGTCAATTAAGTACAGCGGCGCTTGAAATACTAACCAATTAGTTCATTTGTAATATAACACCTGGCAATGCCGGTTGTCTCTCTAAGTTGGAAAAAATTAAGCAAGTATATTAATGATTTAGTGGGTTAAATTTTACTAACAAAGTGTTAATTTTTAATAAAGGGGATAATAATTGGTGGCATTTATAATGTTATTATAAGAAGGACCTAACAATACAATACCATAAGAATCAGTTTCTAAATTACGTACTAGAATTGTACACTGTGAACCGGAGCGTCGCTTTTGACATTTACAGAATAAAGCCGCCAATTATTTGCATCATTTGTTGTATAAACATTTTGCTTGATGTGGTAGGTGATTAAAATTGTTTATATAACAACACTATGTGCAAATGTATGTTTTTGTTTTTATTTTTGATAAAATAAAGTTATATGGTAATGCAACCGAATTACTGTAAAATTATGCGGGTTTCAATACAAGCATAATGTACCCTATGTTGACTGACTAGTAGTGGAAAATTGTCTAGGTTCATATTTATAGAATAGAATTTTTGTGTTTATTACATTTATATGCATTTTATGTTTCTATATAAACAAATAAAGTTAACTCAATCAGTTTTAATAATGAAAGTACAATCAGTGAAGTTGAATTTTCTGCCTAAACTAACATGTGTGTCCGTTTTGTTGCATATGCAATAACGCCATATACTTAAAACTTGTTTATTCGATTATGGACTGACAATCATTCCTATAATTAAATATTTATATTTTTTGCAAAATTTTTATTATAAGAATATTATAAACTTTTATAACAATCTATTTTAATATTATATATTTCGATGCAGAAAAATACTTTAATCATGATGGATGATAGAGAAATGAATGATATATTCGAAAAACTAAGAAATGATGTGTTAAACAATAAAGAAGAGACCATATCTAAAACGCAATTGAAAGATGATGAAATCCTAAATAAAGGGAATAAATCACCTGCTGAAGAAATTACAGAAGATAAAGTTAAAAATGGAAATACTGACCAAATGGATCAAAATGAAAGTAGTTCGAATGTCAATGAATTAATAATGGATAAAAGCGAGATAATTGAAGCAAAAGAAGGTAATGACGAAGAACTACCTCCAGACATTAACAATGAACCAACTTCTCCTACACCCCCTGCATCACCAGCATCATTGACTAATCCCCTTAGTGTAATACACAAACAAGTAAAAATTAATGTTAAACGTGATGATTTAACTGACTTAAAGAAAGTGCACTCAAATGACAAACGTAATGATAACAGTTTTAAAAAGCCGAAGACACCCCTGAAGCGTAAAAGTACAGATATATCCACACCAATAGAATCAAAGGAAAAAAAAACTAAGAATGCGTCGGTATTTAGTGCCTCTAATGTAACTCCGACTAAGGCGCAGCAAAAGTTATTTGATCCCAAATTGTTAGGAGAAAATGAAATATTAAAACAATATAATTGTAAAAGATTAAAAATAAAACTAAAGAAAACGGATCTACACGATTTGCTAAATAAGACTTCAATTAAAAATAAAAAAAACAAACCAACATCTCCTCCAAAACGTAAGAGTAATACACCTTCTCCGGAATCTTCTCCAGGAAAGAAAACACGTAAATCAGTTAATGAAAAGGAAGCGAAGTCAAACTTTTTCATTAAGCTTAGTCCAAAACTGGAATCTAATAAAGATTCTAGTCCCACAGCTAAAAAAGGATCTTCGGGAAAAAGTCCAGCGCCAGCAAAATCTCCCAAAAATCAAAAACCAAAGTCCCTTGTGAAAAAAATAGGATCAAACGAGAAAGCACAAAGAGAGAATTCTAAATTAACTTTTAAACCTACAAAATTTTCCAAAACATTTTTAGAGAAAACATATGGCAAAAGATTCTTTCAGTTAGAAGTTAAGATGGAAAAGTTTGAGCATCCAATTCTGGTCGAATTTGATGCAAAGGCAAATGCTGCAAAAAAAGAAGCCAGGGACAAAAAGAAAAATCTTTCAGTTTCTTTTAAAGATCAAGTGGAAATATTTGGTATTAGCGATTCCGATTCAGATGTAGAAGTTTTAACTACATCAGCTATAAAGGAACCAGCAAATAAAGCACCACAAATACCTGTTACTCCAGCCAAACTTATAAAAACAGAAAATGGCAAAGTTGTAGATACTATTGATTTGGATTCGACATTATTTTTAGATCCAAAAGAAGCAGTTGCTAGTACACCGTTAAAACTACCTGCCCGCAAAAAGCACGACAAAAAATCGTTTAGTCCACTGAAAGATGAAGGGTTGACAAGTCCACGTAAGGAGCAGCTTAAATTGGCAGATGAAAAATTACCACCCAAAGACCTAAGGTGCCTAAGTACGGGTGAAGTCGAGGAAGATGATGAAGACGTGGAATATATAGGTAAGCATATAATTGCATATTAATACCGCAGACAACTTATATATAGATGTCCATACATTATATATAGACGGTACAAGAACGTATACACATGTATGACATAAATCAAAAAATTCATACGTTTAGGTAAAGAAAAAATAGGATAGCATAAGGTTTGCCATCAGATTGGTTAAAAGTCGAACTTTTCAAATTAAATAATGATTCAACGTTTAAAATGAACTTTGAGAGAAAGTTACTTTTTGAACTTTACAAATCGTTACCGGTTTTGTGGTTGGTGTTGGATATCTATATATAAGTTCCCTGTGCTAATATTATTACTTTTGATAGATCCATAAAGTTATCTGCATATATTTGAACTAATGTCTACATGTAGTTCCGTTTGAAGTTCCTCCGCGGACAGCAGCTAAAAGCGGTACTGATACTGAAACAGGCGATGATCCAAAAGAAACAGATTCTGATAAGCAGATACCTAACAATAATGAAAATAAGGAAAACGAAAATAAACAGAATGAAAAGACAGTTGGTGAAGACGAGACTTCAGCAAAAAAGTCACCGGAGGTATCTGTTTCTAGTGAAATTGATTCTAAAGTAGAATCTTCAGCAGAAAGTTTCGCAACTGCGGGAAATGATAGCGATAATGATGACGCCAGTTTTGCAAAATTAAATAACGTAACAGGTTCTTTGTCAAAAACATGTGATACTGCTGAATGTAATGAAAATAAAAGAATAAATATCGTTGAAGAGAAGGACAAAAATGCTGACGGCAACGAAGAAATAAAAGGTTCAAATACATTGAAATTTGATAAATGCTCTAATGATAATGATATGATACTGCGCATGGAAGGTATAATATATACATATTTTTTTAAGAATTTCTAAATTTAATTTTAATTTAAATAACAAATAAAATAAAGATGATGTATCCGAAAAACATCAGGACACTGAAGCATATTCTGAGGATGATAACAAAGATAGCGAGAAAGTTTCAAATGATGACAGCACCGAAACTCACCCACCTGAGCCAGACTCAGCTGCAGATCCAGAAACCGATGATGAAGAATTGAAGAATTCACAGAGCAAAGCAGACAAACAAACTGTTAGTACGACTACTACGGAGTTAGTGGGAGTTACGAATTCAAATAACTAATAATTTAAATGTTATATAATCGTAGGTTTATGTAGTATAAACTACATAATTAATTAAAAAAGTTAAATTTTTTATTTGTGTAAAAGTTTTGAAAGTGTTGAAAAGTAAAAATACATCTAAAACAATTTTCATATAAAAGTCCCTTATTTCATAGTAAGCATTTACAATGTATATAAAATTTGAATGTAAAATGTAATTTTACTTACATGAGTTTGATGTGCAGTATATTTAATATATGTATGTACATATATTTTTAATTACTCAATTTCACATCAAATTGCGCATAATGCAAGTTTATTACTAAAAGTTTTAATTAGTTTATAATTTTACTTATTGGCTTGTATGTGTAAATTAATTCAGTATTCAAGTTTAAAAAAAGAACTCTGGAAACATAAAATTTTTTAAAACAATTGGTAAATTACTTAGAAATCAATATAATTCATTTAGAATATATGAAACTAATAAATATACTCATTCTGTATATTCACTGTATGTTGGACATTTAAACGAAGAAAAATACAGTTTTATGCATTATTCGAAACTTTTCTACACATCATTCATCATTTTTTTAATGTTTAGTTTACGTTCCAAGCAACTAAACTAATTCTCATCTATCCATGTTGGATTTTAAATTTAAAACTCATTGAAAATAAATTTCATTAAGGAATCAATTTCAAACTTTGATAACATAGGTATCATTATTAATTTAAAGTTGAAAATAAGGATTGTAAAATTGGATTGTTCAAATAAACATGTTTTGTAAATTTAAACAAAAATTTAAGAAAAAATGTTCAGATTAGAGTGTTGCATGTAATAAATTGAATTTTTCATAGAATCTGTAAATTTTTTTATTACGTATACAATTTTAATATATGTATATTATAGATTTTAATCGGTATTAGTCACTTTTCAACGTCTATATCAAATCTGTTTTGCTGTAAGGATCTGAGATTTGGTATGTGACTACAGCTATCACTCATAAATTGCAAACGTTTGTAAATAGATGTTTGCGTCAGATTTTAAGAATATAGTGGCCAGGAACTATTATCAATGAACGCCTCATAACACGAACTAACCAGCAGCCAATTGATAAAGAAATAAATCAGATGACATACGGATGACTGGGGCATAATCTCCGCTAGCCAAAAACCGAAATTGTTCATGGTACTCTCGAGTGAAATTCGCAGAGAAGAGAAATCGCGGTCGGCGGAGGACAACATGGTGAAGAACCATTAGTAAAGAAACGAGCAAAGACCAGTAAAGAAATTTTTAGTGAGCTAAGAGCAATAGCACGCCATCATAGTAATTGGAAATATTTTGTGATTAGACTTAGTTCATATCGGTGACACTTAACAACATTAATAAACTGGTCATTTATTAAGCGATCACACTTAACAACATTAATAAACGGATTGTCTAGTTTTTACGAACATTAGCACTAAACGGAAATATCTGATTGGTGAAAAAATTACTAATATTGGATATTTTCGTTTCAAACGAGGTTTCATACTTTCTGTCTGCATAATCAATGAATAATTTTTTCTTTTTTTTTTGTTAATTATTTTTTCTATATAAACACATATATAATTTAATAATTAATTTAATTGATTTTGTAAATCTCAAGAGTAATTTATCACACTTATCGTCTCTATACGAAGGAGTAAAAATATTTTGATGGTTTTTATAAAGACTATTTGAGTCTAAATATCGATTTTTCAATCTATCATTTTTAAGAAAATCAGAAGTGATTATATTTATCAACAACAAAAAGCAAAGTCTCTAATTAAAACATTTGTAAGCATATAAGTTTAAAATAAAGAAGGAATTGAAATCAAAAGTATTGCTTTGATTTTTACATTAAGTTTTGTTGCTTAAATTTTGAAAAACTTTAAGAAGCATATGAACGTTACATATTAAATAATTATATGGTTTATGACTACTTAATATTCTTCCTCATTCAAGTGATAGTAAACCAGCCTGATTAGTCTACAAACTTGGTCTACACCCTAATTTTGTAGGATGAGAGCTTGTCCAGTCGGTAATAAAAAAAATTATGAGTGCCAATTATGAGTATTTCAACACATTAGTTGGAATACAGTTTCGTGTCCCCCTATTCGTAGAGTCGCAAACACAACAAAAACCATTATGAGGTAGACCCAGTCTCATAACATATCTCTTAGTACTCAGTGGACCATGAGTACATTTAACATAGTGTTTAGCAGGTTATGCCTTCATTGAAGCAACTGACAGATACGTTTCTTGTCTAGTTTGGTGAGTTATATCTTGAGATCTGACTGAAGGATTAAACTGATCAATTTTGTTCAGTTATGCTCAGATATTTTTGTTTGATTGCCAACTTGACCGTTACCAGTGGAATACCAATATCTGAGAAATAAATGCTAGGAAGCAGGGTACGAATCTTAGTAAGCTTGTCTGCCCTGTAGTTGCCCAACATGTCCCTGTATCGAGGTACCAACACGAACTGGACACTAACACACCTATATAGTTCATTAAACCTGGAGTTCTTGAACTATTAAGAATATCACTGTTGCGTCCACCAGAAATTTGATTTCAGCTTGGCTGTCCAATAAGATTACGTTATTTACATCGGGGATCTTAGTGCGTAATGAATCACCAATACATTGTTAGATTTAGGAAAAGGTTTTTTTATATTATTAACGTTTAAGGAATTCTAAGATTTTTAATAGAAACCTTTTTAATGTTCACTTATTTAATGCACTAATATAATTTTTTCTTATTTATATATATATTTTTTTTCATTTTTTTAGTGTTAGCTGATACGTTGGATCCTTCTACTTAATTTTAATATTTCTCTGTTTTTCTTTGTACTATTAGTACTTGAGTTTTCCAAATTGTTTCCTTTTTTCCATGCTCTTCACATTTTTCCGTATTTTAAATGCTGTTAGTTGGCATTTTGACTATTGCTTTCCTTACTGTATATAGTATATTGTAGATTTAGATTAACTAAAGTATGTACTGAAAGCTGCCAATTTTTTTCGTATATCATAAAGACATAGAATATCTATAAATAGGTAAGCCCAATTTAAAATAAGTACATTTTCAATATCTAGCAAAATTACTTTAGTTAATTTTAAGGATCAAAAGTCTTTTACTAAACTTCTTTCCTTTACTTTTTGTTTTTTCTTTTAATTTCCCACTTTGTGTTTTTTGTTTATTAAATATCTGAAACTAATCCACAATTGAGGTCGAAAAAATGTCAACGACATTTGATTTTATGATTTTGAGAATAGTTTTTCTCAGCCTTTTTATGATAATTGTGTCAAGGATAAACACAAGTGGCGATTTGTTAAAACGAAAGCGAGTGTTTGGCACATTTAAAGAGTCCTGCAGATATCTTTTTTTTTTGCCAGGATATGACAGATAAATATTCACTTAATTGAATTGAAAACAAAAATAAATTGTTTTATTATTCATTTAGAAGTGAACATTAATTTGAATGTGTTTTCTCTGTTGGTATCCTTAAAATAAAGGCATCTAAAAATCGTCTTATGAAAGCAATAAATGTTTTTGGCAGCCACTTTTGTTATATTTTTTGAAAAAAAAAATTTTCAAAAAAGTTGAAATATTAAAATATTAAATTTTTATAAGGCGAAGACATCTTGTTGGTAACTAATTTTTATATCAAATATATTGTAATATAAATCGCTTTAATTTTTTTCTCCAGTCACTTTCGCTTTATTGCTTCTGGACGTACCTATTTCCGTTTCCGCCACAATACATTACGCTAGCGAAATTTAAGCGTATGCATACGCATAAATGTAGGCGAACCTGAACTGCTTTTTGCATTTGTCGAAAACAAATCAGCTAACAAATCTAATATTTCGCGGGCGTAATCTGCCCGGTGCTTTGACCCATGCGTGGTCTAGATTGATTGTACCTTGTGGTTGTGCTTCTGCTTGTGCTTGTGCCATTCATCGTGCTACGTTTGATAATTGTTTGTTTTCATGTTGCAGGGTGGAGCATGTGGTCTTATGGTTCATATTACAACTTTATTTGCAACTATTTCCGTTTTGGATTTTGGTACGGACAGGTTTCACTATTTGCTTTCCTTCTATAGAAAAGGAAAGTATAGAAAACGAAGGTATTGAAAAGGAAGGTACAGAAAAGGGTGGTAAAAACTTTTCTCTAAGGGCACGCAATATTCAGCTTCGAAGCATAATTTTTTTTTTTGGTGAAATACTGACCTTAACGCATATTCATTTTTATTAAAGAGGTTTTGAAACCATATCTATGATTGATTTCTGTACATAAATAATTATATATGTGCATTAATTTTTATTTTTTTTTTCTTATTTTGTTCAATCCTTCGTTAAGTTGTGTTCCGTTGAGATAATCTAATATATACTTATAAAATCAGCTCTATAGATTGACATGATTGGCAGCAAGATAATACGCATGTACCCCCCGGTTTTTGGTAATACCCGTTTTGTGTCCATTCTGATTTTCGCGACACCCCTTGTTGACAACGGATTTTAATGGAACAAGTTATTTTGAGGAAATATTTCCACTATACAATATGTCGATATAGATTACTTTCCAAGATATCAAAATTTAAAGTAAACTTTTTACAATTATTGGTTAAGTTGTAATTATATATCAGGATATAATATCAGTTCTATAGATTGGTCTGATTAGTATCAAGAGAACGCGTTCCAATATATACAATACCTATTATGTGCCCATTCCGATTTGAGGGACATCTCTCTTGTTGACAAAGGATTTTAGTAGAATCAGTTATTTTAAGCAACATTTCCACTAAATATGTCGATATAGTTTATTTCCCGAGATATCAAGACAAATTTAAATTTTTATATTGAGCACATTAACAAAAAAACTAAACACTCTATTTAGTGCTAAATAGTATATACTTTACACAAACAACGGGTAACAATAAATAGACACTCTAGATGATGGTGATGGTGTGTCCACTTGTTTGTAGTTTTAGTAATATTTATCAACTTTGTTGAGATATAGCATAGTGGAAAAAGTTGTTTAAGATAATTAGCTGCTGTATTAAAATCCCTAATCAATGGATATGTTCGAGAAATCAGAATGGTACCCTAATAAAAGACTGTTTATCACCCCTGTATACGAGATAGTTCAGTATGGGTTTTCATAATTCCTTTACCTCAATA